CCTAGTGTGAACGCAGTGCACATGCCGAGGTTAGAACATACAACGTTACGAGGTTGGAACATACAGCGCTGCGTTCACACTTGAATTGATTAATTACGGGAACAACAGGACGAGGTACTGAACTTACAGCGTTGCGTTCACACTTGAATCGGTTAATTACGGTACCGTCCTTAGTGTGAACTCAACGTTCTATGTACCGTAATTAATCAATTCAAGTGTGAACGCAACGCTGTATGTTCTAACCTCGTCCTGCTTGAATTGAACGCAACGCTAATCAAGCAGGAACATACAGCATTGCGTTCACTAGGGACGGTACCGTAATTAATCAATTCAAGTGTGAACGCAACGCTGTATGTTCAGTACCTCGTCCTGCTTGAACAACCAATCAAGCAGGACGAGTACAGTGTTGCGTTCACACTGTATGTTCAGTACCTCGTCCTGCTTGAACATACAACGTTGCGTTTACACTTGAATTGGTTAATTACTGAACATGTGTGAACGCAGTACCATCTCTAGTGTGAACGCAACGCTGTATGTGCAGGACCTCGTCGAATCGATTAATTACGGTACCGTACCTAGTGTGAACGCAACGCTGTATGTGCAGGACCTCGTCGGGACGAGGTACTGAACATACAACATTGCGTTCACACTAGGTACGGTACCGTAATTAATCGATTCTAGTGTGAACGCAACGCTGTATGTGCAGGACCTCGTCGAGGTCCTGCACATACAGCGTTGCGTTCACGTGTACCGTATGTTCAGTACCTCGTCCGACTTGCGTTCACACTTGAATTGGTTAATTACGGTACCGTCCCTAGTGTGAACGCAACGCTAATCAGGCAGGACGAGGTACTGAACATACAACATTGCGTTCACACTTGAATTCAATTAATTACCGTCCCTAGTGTGAACGCAGTGCACATGCCGAGGTTAGAACATACAACGTTACGAGGTTGGAACATACAGCGCTGCGTTCACACTTGAATTGATTAATTACGGGAACAACAGGACGAGGTACTGAACTTACAGCGTTGCGTTCACACTTGAATCGGTTAATTACGGTACCGTCCTTAGTGTGAACTCAACGTTCTATGTACCGTAATTAATCAATTCAAGTGTGAACGCAACGCTGTATGTTCTAACCTCGTCCTGCTTGAATTGAACGCAACGCTAATCAAGCAGGAACATACAGCATTGCGTTCACTAGGGACGGTACCGTAATTAATCAATTCAAGTGTGAACGCAACGCTGTATGTTCAGTACCTCGTCCTGCTTGAACAACCAATCAAGCAGGACGAGTACAGTGTTGCGTTCACACTGTATGTTCAGTACCTCGTCCTGCTTGAACATACAACGTTGCGTTTACACTTGAATTGGTTAATTACTGAACATGTGTGAACGCAGTACCATCCCTAGTGTGAACGCAACGCTGTATGTTCAGGGGATGGTACTGTAATTAACCAATTCTAGTGTGAACGCAATGCTGTATGTTCAGTACCTCGACAGGACGAGGTACTAAACATACAGCGTTGCGTTCACACTAGAATTGGTTAATTACAGTACCGTCCCTAGTGTGAACGCAACGCTGTATGTTCAGGACCTCACCGTAATTAACCAATTCTAGTGTGAACGCAACCTGAACATACAGCGTTGCGTTCACACTAGAATCGATTAATTATTGTTTACAGCGTTGCTTTCACACTAGGGACGGTACCGTAATTAATCGATTCTAGTGTGAACGCAATGCTGTCGAGGACGAGGTACTGAACATACAGCGTTGCGTTCACACTAGGGACAGTACCGTAATTAACTAATTAATTGAATTCAAGTGTGAACGCAACGATGTATGTTAAGGACCAGGTTAGAAACATATAGCATTGCGTTCACACTTGAATTGGTTAATTACGGTACCGTCCCTAGTGTGAACGCAACGCTGTATGTTCAGTACCTTGTCCTGCTTGAATTCAAATGTGCGCAACGCTGTATGTTCAGGACCAGGTTAGAAACATACAGCGTTGCGTTCACACTTGAATTGGTTAATTACGGTACCGTCCCAAGTGTGAACCAGCGTTGCGTTCACACTTGAATTCAATTAATTGGTTAATTACGATATCGTCCCTAGTCCGAACGCAACGCTGTATGTTCTAACCTCACAGTTGAATTGGTTAATTACGGTACCGTCCCTAGTGTGAACGCAACGCTGTACACACTTGAATTGGTTAATTACGGTACCGTAATTAATTGAATTCAAGTGTGAACGCAACGCTGTATGTTCCTACGTTGCGTTCACACTAGGGAATTAACCAATTCAAGCAGGACGAGGTACTGAACATACAACGTTGCGTTCACACTTGAATTGGTTAATTACGGTAGTTCCTAGTGTGAACGCAACGCTGTATGTGAGGAACGGTACCGTAATTAATTGAATTCAAGTGTGAACGCAACGTAGATACTGAACATACAGCGTTGCGTTCACACTAGGGACGGGTAGGGACGGTACCGTAATTAATTGAATTCAAGTGTGAACGCAACGTATAACCAATTCAATTAATTACGGTACCGTCCCTAGTGTGAACGCAATGCTGTATGTTCAGTACCTCGTCCTCCTTTTTCGGTACAGCGTTGCGTTCACACTAATTAATTACGGTACCGTCCCTAGTGTGAACGCTCGCAGTATATAAACAACCTCGTCCTGCTTGAAGTGTGAACGCAACGCTGTATGTTTAGTACCTGGTCCTGCTTGAATTAGTGTGAACGGTACCGTAATTAATTGAATTCAAGTGTGAACGCAATGCTGTATAATCAATTCAATTAATTACGGTACCGTCCCTAGTGTGAACGCAACGCTGTATGTTCAGCGTTGTATAATCAATTCAATTAATTATGGTACCGTCCCTAGTGTGAACGCAATGCTGTATGTTCAGTACCTCGTCCTGCCTGAATTGGTTTGTCATTAATTGAATTCAAGTGTGAACGCAACGCTGTATAAACAATTCAATTAATTACGATACCGTCCCTAGTGTGAACTCAACGCTGTATGTTCAGTAGCTCGTCCTGCTCGAATTGTTTTGTCCGCTGTATAATCAATTCAATTGTTTACGGTACCGTAATTAACCAATTCAAGTGTGAACGCAACGCTGTATGTTAAGTACCTCGTCCTGCTTGAAATTAATTACGGTACCGTCCCTAGTGTGAACGCAACGCTGTATGTTCAGTACCTCGTGCTGCTTGAATTGGTTTGTCCGCTGTATAATCAATTTAATTAATTACGGTACCGTCCCTAGTGTGAACGCAGCGCTGTATGTTCAGTACCTCGTCCTGCTTGAATTGGTTTGAGGACGAGGTACTGAACATACAGCGTTGAAAAACCAATTCAAGCAGGACGAGGTACTGAACATACAACATTGTGTTCACACTAGGGACGGTACCGTAATTAACCAATTCAAGTGTGAACGCAAAGCTGTATGTAGGACGAGGTACTGAACATACAGCGTTGCGTTCACACTTGAACATACCACACTTGAATTGATTAATTATGGTATCGTCCCCAGTGTGAACGAATGGTACCGTCCCTAGTGTGAACGAGCACCAATTCAACCAGGACGAGGTACTGAACATACAACGTTTCGTTCACACTAGGGACGGTACCGTAATTAACCAATTCAAGTGTGAACGCAACGCTGTATGTAGGACGATGTACTGAACATACAGCGTTGCGTTCACACTTGAATTCAATTAATTACGGTACCGTCCCTAGTGTAAACGCAACGCTGTATGTTCAGGACGGTTCACACTTGAATTGATTAATTACGGTACCGTCCCTAGTATGAACGCAACGCTGTATGTTCAGATGTAGGACGATGTACTGAACATACAGCGTTGCGTTCACACTTGAATTGATTAATTAAGGCACCGTCCCTAGTGTGAACGCCGTCCCTAGTGTGAACGAGCGTTCACACTAGGGACGGTACCTTAATTAATCAATTCAAGTGTGAACGCAACGCTGTATGTTCTAACCTCGTCCTGAATACAGCGTTGCGTTCACACTTGAATTCAATTAATTACGGTACCGTCCCTAGTGTAAACGCAACGCTGTATGTTCAGGACGGTTCACACTTGAATTGATTAATTACGGTACCGTCCCTAGTATGAACGCAACGCTGTATGTTCAGAAACATACAGCCAAGCAGGACGAGGTACTGAACATACAACTGCGTTCACACTAGGGACGGTACCGTAATTAATCGATTCTAGTGTGAACGCAACGCTGTATGTTGCGTTTTTTAACATACAGCGTTGCGTTCACACGTCCTGAACATACAGCGTTGCGTTCACACGATTCTAGTGTGAACGCAACGCTGTATGTTGCGTTTTTTAACATACAGCGTTGCGTTCACACGTCCTGAACATACAGCGTTGCGTTCACACTTGAATTGGTTAATTACGGTACTGTCCCTAGTGTGAACGCAACGCTGTATGTTCAGTACGTCGTCCTGCTTGATTCAGCGTTGGAGTGTGAACACAATGCTGTATGTGTGAACGCAACGCTGTATGTTCAGTACCTCGTCCTGCTTGATTCAGCGTTGCACGTCCTGCTTGATTCAGCGTTGGAGTGTGAACACAATGCTGTATGTGTGAACGCAACGCTGTATGTTCAGTACCTCGTCCTGCTTGATTCAGCGTTGCATTCACACTTGAATTCAATTAATTACGGTATCGTCCCTAGTGTGAACGCAACGATGTATGTTAAGTACCTCGTCCTGCTTGAAGCACATACAGCGTTGCGTTTACACTAGGGACGGTACGTCAATTCAAGTGTGAACGCAACGAACATACAGCGTTGCGTTCACACTAGGGACGGTACCGTAATTAATCGATTCTAGTGTGAACGCAACGCTGTATGTGCAGGACCTAGTGTGAACGCAACGCTGTATGATAGTGTTCCTACATACATCACATGTACGCTCCCGAATTAAAACCGCCCTGACTCTATATGATCATCAATTAGCCTGGAAAACCCTAGTGTACCACAATGAATGTAGTACCATGTGGAAAACATCATGCTCAACAGGCATACTATGCACTCGCCTCACCCTCTCCTGCATCTCCACATACCTTTCTTCGCTAATCGACAACACTATCCTCTTCAAATTCGGAATATCCCTCTCCAACACAAAAACCGCAAACGACTCCCAATTAAGCGTCTCGAAAAACGGGGGCACGTAATTGTCCGATATTATGACAGGAACACACTCATAGAAAATGGCCTCCACGACACGTGGGGTGTAGGGTTCGTACCCTTTTGCGCTTATGCAGTATTTGCTGCTTTTCATGTACTGAGCGTAAGCCTTTTGACCGTTTGACTCGTGTAGCTTCCCGAATATTTTCATGTCAGGGTCTTTGTTCTCCCAGTGTTGCAAAAGAATGGGGCGGAGGTATCCGTGCATTTTTCCGGCAAAAACGGCTAAAATGGTCCTTTGAGACGGGGGTTTCCCGTCAATATTTTTGAGAGGGTTTATGGAATGTCGTACGTAGGTTTCGGGTAGGGATATATCCTTTCCGAGCTTGAATGCACCCTTGGCATCGGCATTGCATAAGGACCTAATGCAATTCTTCATGATCCGGCTCGTCTCGGCAGGTGCCTATGACAACAACACAAATGGAAATTATTTCTTTAAAATGTGCTTTAAGATTTGAGACTTTATAAGGTATTCAGATTGAGATTTCAATTCACATTTTGAGACTTTTTAAGATTTTCAGATTTTGGAGAAATTATGTGAAATCTTAAGTGTAGAGCGTGTAAGGTTTTTTCTTTAGAAATCCTACTAAATCTTAAAAAGTCTTAACAAATCCTAGTCTCAAATAAGTATATATCAAGATTTTGTAAGACTTTTTAAAATCTCAATGAATACTCGAAGACTTGCCATTGTGGAACTAATCTCCTCTCTCTCTCTTGAAGAAAAATAAATAAGCCCCAAATCTAATCAGAACCCTAGTCGTCTCCTCCAGTCGCGCTTGTAGTGACGCTTCGGCGCCGACCAGACTGAGCAGATCTCCTCGTCTGGATTCGGCGACCCTCTCCATGGTAGAATCTCGTCGCGCTCTCCGGTTGTCTACTTGGCGGAAGAGGTTTCGACGGCTTCCAAGGCGTGGGAGATGTGCTGACTCCGGCCTTCTCCGGTGAGTTGGTCGGGATAGGGTGAGCCCTCTTGCCCCGAATTGCTTCTGCTGCCCTGTGCTGAAAATTTGTGGATTTTGGTTGGAGAGGGCAGCTTGGCCGGATGTTGGACCGAGAGTGGTGCTTTAGGTCAGCGGGGTTTGAGGGCGGTGCTCCGGTTGCTGTTCTGGGGGCGGCCCGATCGAGTAAGGTGTCTGGTTCGGCTGAGGGTCCAGCTAGCCGATTGTCGGAGTTTTTCGGTTCTTTTCTTAAGCTAGGTTTCTTCCTTTTGGCGGGTTGTCTTCAGATGTCGGGCCGTCATCTGTGCTGTTGTTTGATTGCGATTGGAGGAGGGCTTTTTCTTAGTATTATGGTGTTTTGTATGTTGTTTGTGTGTTTTGCTTTTGTAGGTTGTTTTAGTTTTTTCTTCATATTTGGATTGTTATTCTTCATCGTTGAAGCTTGATTCTCTCATGTGGGAGTGTTTAGTCTTAGATTGTGTTTAGTCTGTTTGTATTGTGGGTGAGTTTGTGTAATTCTGATGTCTACTTTGTGTAGACTTTCCTGGATTCGGCTAAATGGCTGCGGCTCATTCTAGTTGATTTCTAGTTGTATTTATGTGGTTTCATCTATAAAATCTATCGTTTCGAAAAAAAAAAAAAATACCCGAAGACTTTTAAAAAAGTCATAACAAATCTAAATTGAATACACCAGGATTTCTAAAGTCTTAAAAAATCTTTAAAAATTTCAATTGAATACACTCCGTTAGAGTTTAGAATTGACACAAAAAAAAGTAGGAGTGATTATGAAAATACCCTTGGATTTAATTGGGGATTTGAAATTTTTTTTAAAAAAAATGAATTTTTTGCAATAAGCCAAACTCAGGGGTACTTGGTGTAATTATCCATTAAAGGCTGAATGATATGATTTAGACTGCATACAATTTTGACATTTGATACACTTGACAACAAATTTACTGATAAAGATTACTACAGTCAGGGAAAATATCATATAAAGACTGAGAACAACATGAATTAGTTCATGCCACCCACGCGGGTGGCGCCCATTTCTTGTATTAACAAATTAAGGAATGACATGTGGCAATACATTTGTTACTCACACACTCAATATTGCTATGGACAAAATTAAAATAAAGGTTCATTAGTAAAATATAAATAATTAATAAAAATAAAAATAGTTAATGAAAATACTGACAAACCTAATAAAATAATTATTAGAAAAAATATGGTATTATGAGTAATCCACCAAAAGTCTCGGAACAAATAGAAGCACTTATAGAAATAGTAAAAATGAACCAATTAGAAACATTTGAAAAATTAGACGAAATAAAAGAAATAATAAGAGAACTACAAGATTTAGTACAAAAAGAAAAAACACGGAAAAAAGTATTTAAGCCTATTCAGATAGAACCACCAACAAGTTCTAATGGATGATATAGATAGGTTAACTCAGTTATTATAAAAATGCAATATTGAAGAAACTAGAATGGCAAAAATAGATGATGAGGATAAACAAGGAATAATTTATGGAATAGATAGTGAAAATGAAGATGAGCCAACATTTAATATGACTGATCAGAAACCTTATGCAACACCGCCACTATCACCAAAACGACCTAGAACAAATAATAATGAAGCATCTACTTCACATAATAATTATGTAGAAAGTAGTTTTAGAGATTTTATATATAGAAATGATTATAGTTATCATCAAGAGAGAATAAAGAAAAATATTCCACCAGCATATTTAGAAAAAGAAAGAAATTTATCTAATGGAATATTAAATGTAGATTGTGCAACTAATGCAGAAGATTTAATAGTTACTTGGACTAATCAATTAAAATTATTAGTTCAAACTAATGACTCAATGATAAATGGAATGACATTAATCGACTTTGCTAATTATATAAGATATAAAACATCTGGAGTATTATTTGATTATCTAGAAAATACTCAAATTTTATTAAATCTTGAAGCCAGTGGTTCAGAAACAGGAGCAGAATATAAAATATCAGCCTTAAAAGAATTAGCAAAAGATTTATTGAAAGAATTTTTAGGAATTACAGGACAAGAATCAAAAGAAACACAAAAAGATAAGGTTGTTAGATTTTTAACAAATATGAAGCTATGTAATATATGCTACATAGAAAATTTTTTCTGTCAAGTAAGAGAGAATTTCTATAAAATTAAAGATCGATCAGGACTAATAGAAATAGTTGAAAGTAAGCTTAAAAATGAAATGAATAAATACATACAGAAGAAAATTAGTGAAACAAAAGAAGAAAAAACTCTAGGAATTTTAGAAAAATATGCAAAAGAATATAGAGATGAACTTTGTATAAGAAAATTAGAACACCATGAAATGACAAAAATCGATTCAAGATGTTGCAAACAATTAGAAAGTGTACCGCAGGAATTTGGTTGTTATAACCCATACAAAAAGAAAAAATATTATAGATACAATAAGTTTAATAGACGATATAGACCAAGAAGATATAAGACATTTAGAAAACCGTGGAAAACAAAATATAAAGGAAAGTTTAGAAAACAAGGAAAATACTTAGGAAAACCTAAATATTGTCCTAAAGGTAAAAAGAATTGTAGATGTTGGAAATGTCAAGAAATAGGGCACTATGCAAATGAATGTCCTAAAAATATGCCAGAAAAAGAAAAGAAATTAAAAATGATATTTTCTTTAGGTTATGAACCTATAGAAGAAGAATACGAAGAAGGAGAACTATTAGACTTTGATATATATGATTTAGAATCAGAAACAGATAGTAATTCAGAAACATCTGAATCAGAAGATGAGTAAAAACAGTTCATTCATAAAAGTTAAATTATTTAATAAATTTCTACTAGCATATATAGATACAGGAGCAACAATATGTTTAGCAAAAGAATCTATATTACCTAGTAAATATTGGAAGAAATTAGATAAACCAATTATAGTAAGAATTGCAAATAATAAAACAATAAGTATTGATTATAGAGCAACAGACTTAGTATTGTTAATAGAGGAAAAACGGTTTCCTTTACCAAGTCTTTATAAACAGAATACAGGATTACCATTAATAATTGGAAATAACTTTCTTAAGTTATACAGTCCATTTATTCAAAGACTAAATACTATAAGTCTTAGATGTCCACAACTAGATACACAGTCTAGTAAAATAATTACTACAAAAATATATAATACATCTTCTTTCATAAGGGGGGAGATATTAAGAAAAGTTTCATTTCAAATTCATAAAGTAATAAGTATAACACTAGAAGAACATGTTAATCAACTTTTAGAAAACATATGTAGTCAAAATCCATTAGATCCAAATAAATACACGAATAACATGATAGTAAAAATAGAACTTATAGATCCTAGCAAAGAAGTCAACGTGCCAAATAGAATACCATATACAGAAAGAGATGTTAAAGAATTTCAAGAAGAAACTACTAAGATGTTAGAAAATGGTATTATACAACCTAGTAAAAGCCCACATAGTGCACCAGCATTTTACGTAGAAAACCATAATGAATTAAAAAGAGGAAAACGAAGAATGGTTATAAATTACAAAGAAATGAATAAAGCTACTAAAGGAGATGCATATAAGTTGCCAAGACAAGATTATATTTTTAGTCGAATTAAAAAGGCAAATTGGTATAATACATTAGATGCTAAATCAGGATATTGGCAATTAAGGTTACATGAAGAAACTAAACCTTTAACAGCATTTAGTTGTCCACCTCAAAACCACTACGAATATAATGTAATGCCATTTGGACTTAAACAAGCACCTAGTATATATCAGCGATTTATGGATAATAATCTTAAAGGATTAGAGTCAATAAGTCTTGCTTATATAGATGATATACTTGTTTTTACACAAGGATCAAAAGAAGATCATTTAAAAGAACTTGCAAAAGTTTTATTACAGTTAGGTAATAAAGGAATTATTTTAAGTAAGGAAAAAGCAAAAATTTGCAAAAGAGAAACATAATTTTTGGGAATGAAAATAGTCGAGGGAGGCTATATTGAACCTCAAAAACATTTACTTGAAAAAATACATCAGTTTTCAGATCAGCTTCAAAACAGAAATCAAATTCAAAAATTTCTTGGATGTTTAACATATATTGGAGAAAAAGGTTTTATAAAAAGTCTTGCAAAAGAAAGAGAGTTACTACAAAAAATGATTTCAGAAAAAGTACCATGGAAATGGACAGACAATGCAACTAGAGCAGTACAGTCCTTAAAAAGACTATGTACTCAATTACCACGGCTTTACCTACCAAAACCTAGTGATTTACTTATTTTAAACACTGATGCAAGTCAGGATACTTGGGGAGCAGTCCTTCAAGCAATTCCAGATGCATATGAAGAGTTTAATAAGTTTATCGCAAACAACAAACCATCTGAAGTTAAATCCTTTATACGAAGGATGACTAA